AATAGCTGGGGAACCGGGGTGGCTCAGCTGGTTAAGCTTACAACTCAATTTTGACTCAGGTCATGATCTCACGTTTCCTGAGTTCAAGCCCCAAGTCAGGCTCCTCAATGACAGTGCAGAACCTGCTTGGGATTCTTTCTCTCTCCCTCTCTCTCTCTCTCTTTCTCTCTCCCTGTCCCCCACCCCACCCCCACTCATGTGTGTGCATGCTCTCTCTCCCTCAAAATAAACTTAAAAAAAAATAGCTGCTGCAAAGTTAAGTTTCAGACTCTGTGACTTAAAACGTACTTTTGAATCAAGTCTTGCTAGGGTCTGTGTATGACTGGGTATCATTAGATGTGTGGAGTGGGGCAAGGACAGAGAGGCACAAGGTGGTGGGAAATCTGCCAAGTGCTGATCTTTAGAAGCTTTCACCACAGTTTCCATAAAGATATAGGTTGTATCAAAACAACTATTTTCTTGGGGGCAGCTGAGGAGTAAAATTAAAGGGGAATTACATTAAATTTCATAAAATAAGACTTAATGAAAACTGTTAGTTTCACATTTTTCACCCCCCCAAACCCCATTCATCTTATTTCTTCCTCCCTTTCTCATAAAAATTTTCAAAAACATTTTCAGTATCTTGACTGTAGTTCTGTCCCTTCCTCTACCTTTTGTAGCTTCTTTCCTCCACTATAATCACTTCTTACGTTTCTTAGGCAAATTGCTTATCCCTTTTTCATGAGTATAATACCTTACTGTTTGTCAGGCGCTGTACAATTCACAGTACTATTCATCTAAATCCATGCAGCAATCTTATTATCCCTATTTCCAGATGAAGAAATTGAGCCTTTGAGATGTCATGTGACTTGCCCAAAGCCACATAGCTCCTAAGTTCTAGAGCTGGGACATGACCCAGGTGGATCAGAGTGTGGCAAGGCCCCCAAGCCCATTGCTCATAGATTCTCTGCTGTGATATATGTCCATTATAGAACTTGGGAAGAAACACAAAAGTAGAAATATGCTTTTCAAAACATCAGTAATCTCGGTGCACCTGGGTGGCTCAGTTGGTTAAGCATCTGACTTGATCAGGTCATGATCTCACAGTTCATGAGTTTGAGCCCTACATGGAGCCCTGCATCAGGCTTTGTGTCTGCAACACAGGAGCCAGCTTTGGATCCTCCCTCTCTCTCTCTGCCCCTCCCCCACTCACACTCTGTCTCTTTCAAAAACAAATAAATAAACATTAAAAAAAATCTTTAATCTCTATCTACATCCACAAGGAACAAGAGCTAAAAACTTATCTTTCCTTTCAGTATTTTTAAATTCATAATGAACAGGAATTTTTACTTTTAACACAAGCATTTGGTGACCATTGTTAAGGAACTGACATTCTAAAACAAATGTATAAAGTCACTAAGCTCATTTTACAACAGAACATCATTTTAATACCTATGAAAGAGTAAGTAACACATGTTATTTCAATTGTATCCTTAAACTGGAACATAATTTGTCAGGTATTAGTTTGCTTTTCAGTGATCCTATATCATATTCCAGAATACTTAATTGCTTAATGGAAAATTTAGGTGTGATTCTGTTGACATGTTAATGATGAAATGTTCTGTTTATTTCTAAGACATTTTCTGCAAGGATATGCACCAGAATTCTAAAGAAAATGAGAAAAATATTAAAATTAGCCTTTCAATCTTGGACAGTTTCATTTCACGAAATGAATATTGTAGACTTATATTTGAAACAACAAGCGCTGAAAAAATGAAACCATCAACTCATTTACATGAGTAGAGTGGGGAGGAAATGTTTTCTAACACATACCAGAAATGTGATAAAAGCTGTACTTTTTATTTGGACAAAGCATTACTTGAATTTGAAGTTAATGATATATGTATGTTTCAAAATGAATGCAAGTGGTGGCTTTACTCACAAAGGTTATCTACTAGTAGTAAAAGCAAATTAATTTTAAATAGCTATGACTCTCTAGCCAGATGCTATTTCAAATGATGGGGAAGAAGGGAAGTTGGGTGCCATAGTTTTCCTTGATATTCATTCCTCTATATTTTGAGAATTTGAATATATAAACTCTGCCCCTCACACACTTTTTGTTTTTTTTTTAATTTACAACAATCAATTCTGGGAACTTGGTATCAGCATAGGCTTCAGAAAAGGGCAAAACCAGGTTGGGAATGATGTCCCTGCCCTCAACAACACTGTGACCTTGTCAGTAAATTTCATTGTCTGTAAAATGAGAATCAATATTTCATAAGTGGTTGGGGTTAAGTACCAGTAAATAAATGAAGTGACTAGAATGACATGGCACATAGCAGGCCCTCTCTCTAAAAAAATTTCCATATCCATCTTGTTCACCTTTCAGTAAGTCCTTGAGCACAGCATCGTTGACTCACTGATCAATAGCGGCAGCTCTCATATGTACTGTATACTACAGGTCACACATACGCCCATGTGCACTGTCTGTCTGGTTACTCTACCCATTAACTCTGGGCACACTTACTTTCTTTTCATGGAGACTGAGGTTCAAAGAGATGAAGCGACTTGACCATGGTCACCCAGCTGGGACTCAAATCCAAGTGTTCTGAAGGCTACTCTGATGCTCTTTTCACTGCACTAAAGTTGCCTACTTCCTCCACATGTTCAGGAAAAAAAAACATCTAATTTAGGCTCTGATTTCCTCACCCCAGCAATTGACAATTAAGGATTCCACTATATACGAAAGGAAAAATTTAGTACAGTTTGAATAGATAGAGCATCCAGAATTTTTTTTAAATGCCAGCCCCTCCCTCCTATGGAAAGCAGTGTTTTAAGATACGATTAATATTCTGAGCATAGGATGATGGTAAACACTATGTGTTTGCATTATCATGAGATGACAAAATTATCCACTCTCAAAGGACCAGCTGCTGTAGGGCGGCTGGCACCCGTGTTGCCTACATTCTCAAAACTATTTTAATTGGTAATTTTCCTTTTTTCCTTTTTTTTTTTTTTTTTTTTTTTTTTGGCAGAGAGGAAATGTATGTGCAAACCTATTAAAGCCATAGCATCTGTTATGATGAAATGACATGACTGAATCTTAATAAGTGTAATGTTACACCTCAGAATTTTGGGGTTAATCAGGGTTGTCATTGACACAAGAGTCTCTATAACTCAGCTCCCCAAACACATATAGAAGAGTTATGGGAAAAAATGATAGAAAAATTCTTCCCATACTTTTTACATATTTTCACTACCGTGTTATAATTTTGAATTGATGTGCACAGTATACATGAAACTGTTCATCACATTAGGTGAATGTGATCCTGAGAGGAGAGAGCCCAACTTTTGAAATAGGAATACCTCAGATCATATCCAATGTCTACCCAAATTGCTGACAGCTTTAGACAAAGAACTTGATCCGCTTGGAACAATTCTCATTTCTATAATGTGGATGGTAAGTCTTATTCTACAAGTTTATGAAAAGGATCTAATAATTAAAATATTACAAGTCAAAATTTTCAGTGCTACCAATAGCCATTTATTAGGTGCTGGTTACATACCATAGTCTGTGCTAAAGACTTACATGTACATTATCTCATTTAATCACCCCTAAAGTCTTTATTGTAGATATTACTAGTGTATTTATTTATTGATGTGAACATAGAGGCTGAGAGGCTAATTATCAGTGTTTACAAACTTAGGGTATGGAAGGCCTAATAATTGAACTTAGGCTTCTTATTTTATTGCTTTAACAACTATTTGCTAAGCAATAGATGTCCTGAGACATCAAGCACTGTGGGGAAGAAGGAAATGGGAATGGAAGGTTGGTAAGCAACCAATCGTGTTTGCTTTACCCTGGCTACCATGTAGAGAATGCATTAAAAATTGAGAAGAGAGGATCCAGGGAGAGTAGGTAGAAGGCCATACAAATAATCTTGGTGAGAGATGATGTTGACTTCAACCGGGATGGTAACAGTACAGATGAAGAAACCTGGATGCAATGGCAGGTATACTTTGCAGGGAGACCTGAATGTGTGGTGGTTACAGGATAGGGAAGTCAAGCAAGAGCAGGCCCATATTTTTTACTCTTAGCAACGTGGTAAAGTGAGATGGGAAATGCTAGAATGGATATTCAGAACAAAGGAAGGAAGTCTTTCTAGTCTCAAGCCTCACACTTTTAACTATTATTAAAATTTAAACTAATTATCATAACTATAAAAGAGATTTGAAGTCCATGGGCATGTAAATATAAAACATTGGACAGCTTTATAGAAAAGTCAAATTATTCCTTCCCAAGAGAAAATGGCAAAAAGGAGAGTTTAGTGCAGAACTTACCATAATGCTTGGTTTTCAAAGTAAATACCTAAGGTAAAGATTATCTGAGATTTTCTTTGAATTTTGTGAAATTTGAACTTTAATATCTATAATACTGCTTTATAAACTAGAGGGGGAAAGAAAAAACACCGGAATATAATTTACCAGAAAGCTAACAGTTTTGTTTTAGATGATCGGGTCATGTATATATTTTCTTCTTTCTACATTGTTACATTTTACAAATTTTCAGAAATGACTACATATTACCTGTATAACTAGCAAATTAAAAGTTCAAGAAAAATTAATCTATAAGGTTACATTTGCTATGTCTGTATAGTCCATAGTAAGTTCTGAGAACCACGGCAATCATAACCCTCAGTTTAAGCAGTTAAAACCAATCAAAATAATTACATGACTGACAGAGGCCTTCAAATGTGCCCTTCTCACTGTACCATGTGCAATGCACTCCCTGTCCCAATGGACTGGAATCCCAGATGGGGTTTGACCAATAGTGCAGTCCATTCGGAAATGCCTGGAAGGCTGGGGAGTTCTTCATTTCATTTGAATTGTTTCTTCTGAATATAAAATTTTAAAATTGCTTAATTCACTCCCCCACTTCTTAAGGGTAGCTAACAATGACAATATTCTTTAAGAAATCCTCCTAGCCACCCCTAACTTTTGCCTCTTTCCCTTTCTTTCAGGGTCAATGATTGTATCTTGCGGGTGAACGAGGTCGATGTGTCAGAGGTTTCCCACAGTAAGGCCGTGGAAGCCCTCAAAGAAGCGGGCTCTATTGTCCGGCTGTACGTGCGTAGAAGACGCCCCATTCTGGAGACTGTCGTGGAAATCAAATTGTTCAAAGGACCTAAAGGTAATAAAAACATAAATGACTCACAATATGACACCATTTGACTAAAATTTATGCCATAATCCACCTATGATGTAGTCTCTTCTTTTATGTTCTGACATTCAGTGCTTACCTAGAGATTTGAAGTCCTGCAATAGTGGTTTTTACAGAAGGTCAAGGAAATCAATACGCTTAATATGAACTCAGAGAAAGAAAGGACAGATTTATGTAGGAATGTCCTTATAAGCAATGGCCTTATAAATATAAACCATTTATATTTTTCTATAAATTTTTAATCTTATTGAATCATCATGATTTGGCTGGCATATAAATTCTTTATAATTTTCAAGATATAAATGGTGACTCTTCATTTAGTAAAATAGTAATATGAATGGTAATGATTAAACTGGTCTATCCTGAAATAAGTTATTATATTTTTATAATACTGTTGTGATTTGTTTTGATTTATAATACTCTCATGTGTTATACACAAAAAATACTACATAACATTTTATCTTTGAAATAGTCAAAGTAAGTTAAAATTTATTTTTTTAAAGGCTCCCAAATCTCCTGAGGTAATTGTAGTTACCCTGGGGAATCACATAAACAGTGAGATGAATCATTATATTAATTTTTTTTAAGAATAGTCATTTGGGTTCTCTTCAGAATGATGACATTTAATATTAGCTTAACAGTATTTCAAATATTTTATAAAAATCCAATAATTGGCTTAACAGTATTTTAAATATTTTTAGAATATTATGACTGGATAGTTAGTATATTATTTGAGTAATTATTTCTATTTCCCTTAAAATCTACTTAATCTCTAATGTTAAATGGGATTAAAAAGGAAATAAGTAACAGCACTGGTGGGTGGTATTTAAGATCTCAAACCCAAGAATAGACGGGACTGAGTTTAAAAGTCTGGTTCAGCCACTTACTAGCAGAGTGATATTGGTTAGAACAATCCCCTCATTATTAAATTGGGATCATAATGGTAGTATCGTTCCCACAGGGTTTATGAGAATTTAACATTTAACTAAACCTTGCTGGTGGAGTGTAGCCTACAGAGTCAAAGTGTCTAGGTTAGGACCTACCAAAGCACCTCACTAGTTGTTTGACCTTAAGCAAATCACTTAACCTCTCTGAGCCTTAATTTTCTCATCTACAAAATGCAGATAGTAATAGTACTTGCCCCTAGAAATGTGAGGATTAGATGAACCATTTCATGTAAAATATTTAGAATAGTGGCTGGCCCACATTGATTGCCAAACAAATATTACCTATATAAATACATGCTATTTGTAGTATTCTTTACTACAGATGGCCTCAGACTTTGCTATAATTGCTTGATAATGTAATGAAAATAAAGATCACTCTTGGGCTAAATTCAAATGCGTTAAAATCATATAATTAAATCGGGGGGGGGGGGGAAGTAAGGCATTTGCTTACCACAATGTCTGGTGGTATGTGTTAGGGTCAGGCGTAAGGCAGGGTAAAGATAAGAGTCAGAGGCTAAAAAATTTTAGGAGTCAAAGGCTTTATCGGGAACTAAGGTCTCAGGCGAGGTTCTGTGACTCAGGGAGAGAGAGAGAGAGGAGTCAGGGAAGTCGCGCCCAGGTGTGGTGGGGTGGGGTTTTTAAGCTGCAGTGGTTCCGGGTTTAGGTCCAGATGGGCCTTTTTCCCATCAGGTCATGCTGTCGTTTGGTGATTGGTTGACCTCCATTCGTTCTGGCACGCTACTAGGGGCTTTTCGTTGGGTTGAGCTGGCAAGATGGGCGTCCCCTCTACTGTGGTTCCAAGGACATCCTAACAGTATGAAAGAAAAGACTTTGTAACCTACACATTTCTTAACATCATATTTGCAAGGTGCTTCAAAGATAAATAATTTCAGCATTACACTATTTCTATTAAAAATATATACTATTTATGAGTAACAGGTAGGTATTTCTAAATTCAATTAACAGCAATTATTTAGCACAGCCCTAAAGCCAATACCGGTTTGAAGCACTCAGCAAAGTATTAGCATCCATTAACTGGCCTCCTGCTAGCCCAGTTACTAGATGACCTCCAGCTGCTCAGCAGAGCAGTTCAAGGTTCTAGGGAATCCATGGCCAAAACTCTTAAATTTTATCAGGAACAGATTTTGGGGGTCTTTACCTTTGGTACTAGGAATCCCTCTGGCGAGCTTCCTCAGTTTGAATTGTTTTCTTCTGTGAGCCCGGAGTAGGGCAGGAATTGCCCTGGGACATAGAAAGGTGGAAATGGGGACAGGTGAGCATAATCCACCAAGAATACCCAGGCAATAACCCAAAGGTGCATGGCATATGAATGATAGGTTTGGTTTACTCAGACGTGGAGAACCAGGAAACTATTAGAACTAACCTTCATCCCAGAAAGCAGACTTCTGCCACATCCCTATAGAGGGTTGTGGGCCTGTTGTTCCTGTTCAAATTATGTTGAGTCACTTATACATTTTTGTACTGTCACCATACAGAGGTCACTGATGGAGATTTGTTTTTCTATACAAAATTTACTGACATACAAAAAAAGACATGGTTTTAGTCAGAGTTTAAATTCCTAATGCCTTTCCCAATGCCTAAAATACTGGAAGTGCTAAATCAGCAAATGGAATAATTAAATTAGGTTCTGCACTAAAGGTGATGATACTTTGCCATGTTAACTTCACTTGGCACCTTATAGTTCTTTCCTTTTGAATGATGATGTATTTAAAATTAATTTCTACCAATGTTTGACTCATACTGTGGAAAGGGAAGATGAAGATGAATCAGATGTGATTCTGATGAAAGAATCAGAAAGTTCTCACAGGAGAAAAAGACATAAACTCAAGTAACTTTAATGCAAGGCAAAATGAAATCAGCCCTGTTATTGAGCTTGTGTCATGATTCAACTTAACTAGGAGAGCCAAAATGCTCCAGAACATTTAAAAATTTATTTTTTTAAGTGTTTTAAACTCACAAACTGCGAGATCATGACCTGAGCTGAAGTCAGATGCTTAACCGACTAAGCCACCCAGGGACCACAGCATACATTTTTTTTAAGTTTATTTATTTATTTTGAGAGAGAGAGAGAGAGAGAGATCAGGAAAGGGGGAGAGAGAGAGGGAGAAAGAGAGAGAATCACAAGCAGGCTCAATGCTGTCATCACGAGCACAACTCGGGGCTGGATCTCACAAACAATGAGATCATGACCTGAGCCGAAATCAAGAGTTGGATGCTTAATTGCCTGAGCCACCCAGGCACCCCAGATCATTTAAAATTTGACACGTGCTCACAGGTCCTTATCTGCCCTTCGTTGAGCATGTAGGCACTCTCTACAGTCAGCATCAGCTCTCTTGCCAACTGGGCTAACTAGCCTTGATTATGTTTGTGTAATACAGAGCTAACTAGATATTTTCATTAGTCTTTCAATAATTCAAAGAATATTAAGTATTTGTTATGTTCCTGGCACAGAGGGTGAAAATGGAGGTTCACAAAAAAAGTAGGAATAGTTCTTGCTCAAAGAGATGAAAGCCTGATTTAGAAAACACCTATAATTTAAATTGGGAAATATGCTAATGTGAATGTAAAAGATTGTAAAGTGGCCAGTTAAATAAAGGGTCAAAGAAGACTTCTTTAAGGAAGTGCCACTTAAGATAAACCTTGAAAGAAAAAGAAAAATAAGAGTTAGACACATAAAGAGTGGACGAGAGCCTCCAGACAAAAGTAAAATGTGTGTATGAAGGTTCTAAAATAGGAAAGATCTTGATACCTTTTAGGAACTGTAAGAAGTCAATCATGACTGGTGTTTAATGATAGGATAATGTGTGACATGAAATGATGTTGTCAAGGTTAGGAGGGCCAGATCATGCACAGCCTTGTTGACTGTATTTTAAGATTTGTTATTTTATTTCAAGTGCAATGAGAAGTTATTATAAAATTTTCAGCTTGGGAGTGATATGATCAAATTAGTCATTTTGAGAAGATCATTTGGCTGCTGTGAAAAAAATGCATTGAAGGAGCAGGAGTGGGAGCAGAGCTATATGTTGGAGGTATAGTTGATGCTACTTACTGATAAGTGGCACTTAGATGTGGGGCATGTCTGAGGATGAGGCCCAGTTTTCTAATTGAGCAGTTGAATGGATTCGGGTGCCATTTGTGAGATTGGGAAGACTAGGGAGGAACCCTTGTGGGGAGATCAGGAATTCACTTTTGGACATGTTGAGATGCTTGTGATACATTTGGAAAGGAGATCAAGGAGGCAGAACTGGAAACTATCTGTCTGAAATCTCTGTAAGGTTAATATTCTGTATTTACCCTATGTCTTGTCAAATATCTGGAGTTGGGGAAATATCTGAATACTTCACTTTTCCCTTTTCATCAATAATCTTTAATATAAAAATCATAAATATGGTACTACATTAGCTATTTTTGAACAATTATAATGAAAATAATATATTTTATAGAGGTTCTTAGTGTTTTGGGATTGGTTCTGGTTTTGGTTTTGGTTTGTTTATGTTTTTTGAGGTTTTCTTGTTTTTTTTTTTCTTCTTTGTATATCGATGCAATGTTAAGGGATCCTTGAAAACTAATTAGTGATAGAGTTAAATGTATAGTTTTCTAATTCCATATCCTTATGTTTATTCCATAATTGTACAAATTACTAATACTGAAATGACCTTTGATGTATGTGATTCTGTCTCAGTAGCAGTGCTGATCTTCCCAGTATACAACTAGAATCATCTGATTGGGTGATTTATGGCCATTTATTTTAGTAATTAACATTTGGGTAATATGCACTCATAATTTAGAATGTCTTTTATTAACAATATGTAAAAATTTGGGGCACCTGGGTGGCTCGGTCGGTTGAGCATCCGACTTCAGCTTAGGTCATGATCTCGCAGTTTGTGAGTTCGAGCCCCGCATCGGGCTCTGTGCTGACAGCTCAGAGCCTGGAGCCTGCTTCAGATTCTGTGTCTCCCTCTCTCTCTGTCCCTCCCCTGCTCACACTCTTGTCTCTCAAAG